GGGGTCGGCCGCCGGCCCCTCCCTCGCTGAGGCCGGGCGCTCCCCCAGCTGGCGGGACCTCTCAGCAGAGGCCTCCACGGCAGACATGACCGCGTACCTGCAGCAGAGACCGGCCCCCGTCAGAGGGGTGCAGGTAAAGCCACTGACTGACCAAGTTAATGACTCGGAGGACGGGAAACCAGCAAACACACTGACGCACTGACACACCAACGCATATAAGGTATGCTTAGACATCACTGGGGTGGGGGTATATGTCTGACGGTGACCCCAGCCTGCCTGCCCGCCCCTGTCCTAGTCAGTCATGGCTCCAGTGTCAGTCCCAATCAGCCAGTCTGTCTGTCAATGGATCCGCTCACCCGAAGCCGGCCTTCTGCAGAGTACGTGTTCCGGCCAGCGTGGCCCCGCCGGCGGCCGCCGCGTCTCGGCTCAGTTCGCAGAGCGGCCGGTCCGAGTCGAGCAGTAGCTGCGCCGCCCCGGCCGTCTGGAACAACAGGGGAACAGCAATAACATTGTAACCCTAAATACTGTAACACCGTAACACCGCCAGGAATTACACGATCAGTATCTCAGAATACCGCCGGGACAGAGCAGATTCAAACAGCGCGCCAGCTGCCCCTGGTGCCCCTGTAGGAGCTATCCGTCTGTGCGCGTGTGCTCCAGTCCGTGGTGTATCTATCCTCACCGTTTTGGCGGCCATCTGCAGTGCCTCGTGCCAGGGAACGCCGAGATGGACGGCGCCGCTGGCCAGCGCGTCCACGAAACTCAGCACCTGAGGGCCAAAGAGACGGATCGGAGATCGGTGCTGATGTAATGAGACTCATATACAGTGGGGTAGGTAGGGACACTGACAAAGACACAGTGGAGCTGTCAGCTGCGCAGTCACTAATAACGGACCACACACATTATTCTATCAAAACTGCATACACATACGGGAAGACGCCAGCGAGCAGGGGCACAAAATTGGCTCCAAATTTAGATCAGAAGAACGCTAAAATAGCCCACAGTTTGTTTCTTTCCCGTCCTGTCTTGCACTGTTCAGAGACCCGGTATGGTAGCACGCCAGCAGGTCGGTTACAGAGCTAATACCGTCCCCCTCCCTGGCCCGCCCGGCGCGGCGCGGCACTCACGTAGGCGGTGCCGCTGCCGAACGCGCCGCTGTAGGCGTCCATGAGCCGCTCGTCCACCTTCTGACACGAGCCCAGCGCCGAGAACACCATCTCGACCGAGAGGAGCCAGTTGCGCGGCAGGTCGTCGCCGCAGCAGTACACTGAAACGGCCGGATAGTCAGCCGAGGTCATCGCCGCAGCAGTACACTGAAACGGCGGGCAGAGTCAGCCGAGGTCAGTCCGCCGTAGCCCGTAGCCCTACACTGCAACAGCGGATATATTATTACAGCGGTCAGTGGCCACTTTCAAACAGCTCGACAGGCTGGGTGGAGAGTCTTCTTAGTCTATACCTCCATATTGGACCACTACACGACAGACCCCCCCCCCCTCCCCAAACTCCAGCCCAGCCCCTGCGAGACCAGTCGTTCGGACGGATCCCCCTCCCCCTCGAATTCCCCACTGTCCCGCCGAGTCCCGTCGAGCTCACCGGTGCTCCCCTCGCCGATTGACACGGGCAGGTTGGGCACGCAGCGTACCACGTGAAAAGGCGTCTGCTGCGCCCCCACCGGACGACGCGAGCTGATCGTCTGTCGGACGGACGGGAACTTAAAGAATGACGACAGAGTTTCCAGATCAACAACGATGGGTTAACGGATAAAAAATAAAAATCGTGTTTGAAGAAGCTAAGCCGGCAGCACGAGCATCTCCAAAATTTTGCACTTATTTTACGGCTTACGCCTTAATCTCCTTGATTTTTCACTTACTTTACACCTTAATCTCCTGACGAATTTGCCGATTAGGTGCGTTACCTCCATGATGCGCTGCCGGGTCCATCCGGTGACCAGTGAGACGAAGCAGCGCTCCTTGCCGTCAGTGAGGGCCGCCCCCAGACCGGCGAATACGGACTCGGCCACCAGGGGCTGGACGGCGACCAGCACCAGGTCCGACTCCCGCACCACCTCAGCTACACGGGGCACAAACAGAGTCACAGTCACCGGATCGGCTACCTTTAACCGTTCAATTTCAGATAATCGCGGAAACTCTTATTTACTGTGCCAGTATGGCAACTCCTATGGACGTGTGAAAATGTCACCTAATCCCTCACCACCGCACGAGACCCGTCTTCGAGACCGCGTCGACCCATTCATTCATTCACTCTACCCTGACGTCGACCCGTCTCTCACCGTTGTCGGCCCGTCCTCTCACCGCTGTCGGCCCGGCTCTCACCACTGTCGGCCCGTCTCTCACCACTGTCCACCCGTCTCTCACCGATGTCCACCCGGTTCTCACCATTGTCCACCCGTCTCTCACCGTTATCGGTGGTGGTGGAGCAGCCCCAGAGGCGCCACGTGTCCAAACGGAGCCGGGTCGGGGCGCTGGTGATCACACAGGCCGGCGAGACGATACCTGCCGGTCACACACGGTCAGAGAGTTACATAGAACGCGATCACACAGGCCGGCGAGATGATACCTGTCGGTTACACACGATCAGAGAGTTACATAGAACACCCGCTGGTGATCACACAGGCCGGCGAGACGATACCTGCCGGTTACACACGATCAGAGAGTTACATAGAACACCCGCTGGTGATCACACAGGCCGGCGAGACGATACCTGCCGGTTAAACACGGTCAGAGAGTTACATAGAACACCCGCTGGTGATCACACAGGCCGGCGAGACGATACCTGCCGGTTACACACGATCAGAGAGTTACATAGAACACCCGCTGGTGATCACACAGGCCGGCGAGACGATACCTGCCGGTTACACACGATCAGAGAGTTACATAGAACACCCGCTGGTGATCACACAGGCCGGCGAGACGATACCTGCCGGTTACACACGGTCAGAGAGTTACACCAAACACCAGCTACACCGAATCAGAGGGTACACTGGCACCAGGTACACCGGACGAGAGGGTAACACCGACACACCAGATAACTGATCAGAGGACACGCCACACCAAGGTAACAGTTAACACCGATACCTACTGGTTACACCAGATCAGAGGGTAACACCGATAACTTCCACATCGGATTAGGAAGTGACAAATCGTACACCAGTGACTCAGTGGTCAGACTGTACTGCCAGAGCCCAGGTGTCACATGTGACTGACCTTTGTCGAGCATGCCCTTGGTCGTGGCCTTGGCGATGTTACCGGCGCCCACGAAGCCCACCGTCAGGTTGTGCAGGCCAATGGAGTAGTTAACACGGCCAATGTCCTGAAACGGACGGAACAACTTAGATAATGGTGACAAGGATAAGTGCCAACTGCGGACTAGCGAACCCCAGTAATCAGTATCAGACCAAATATCTATTTCCCAAGCAGCTCGCCACGATCCCATCTACCCCCCCCCCCCCTCCACATACACACACTTCTTGTCTCCGAATAGGACTCCCCCTCACGCCGCACTCACCCCGTAGGAGACGTCGGCGGTGGGCTGCGGCCGGCTCGGCGTCGGGTACCCGGAGGACGGGGGAGGCGAGTCCTCCGCCGGGCTGAAGGACCGCTCCGGGCTGCCGCCGGAGCGCTGCGGCGACTGCGGCAGCACCACCGTCACCGCTCGGCGCGAGGTGCGCCGCCGCCGCCCGCCCTGGGTGGGCGTCGCCAGCACGGGCGTCATCCGGCGGCCGCGGCCCAGTCGCGCCGACGGCGGCGGCGGCGGCGCCGGACGCGCTCCCTGACTCCGCTTCAGGTGCTTGGCGCTGCGCGCGTGGAGCATGAGGTTCTTCAGGTGACAGACGAGTCCACTGCAGCAGTGGCGGCACCAGGCCGAGTACGGGTCGCCGTCGACTCCCTGCAGCCAGTCTGGGGAAGTGGAGCGGCCGGAGGGACCGGTCAGCCTGGGATGGGAAGAAGGGACGGTCCAGTCAGCATACCGAAACAAACGATAGCTCTCCGGGACCCAAATGGCACCGTAAGAGCAGCGTCAATTACGCCCACCTTTTAGCTCCGGTATGTTCTCCCATGTCGAGCGGTAGCGCTGCAGGCGCCGGGACTGCGGCGGGGCCTTGGACGGCGAGTTGTCCCCGGCCGCCTCCTGGCTGGTGGCGGCCCCCGACTCGGTCGGCGCGCCCACCACGCTCAGTACGATCGTCTCCAGCGTGTTCGGCCCCGCCTCCACTCGGTCAATGTCAAGGGGGTCAATGGCAGCCTCCGAGGCATTGTTGGAGGGCGCGGCGGCGCGGCGGTCAGTCTCCGTCTGAGCCTGAAATGGTACACAAGCATTATAATAACAATCATTTGAGAATTGCATTGATCTAGTCCCATTACAATAACTCTTGCAGTTTTTCACTGGTTATTCTACTCTCGCTGACATTTCTCGGAAGTCGTAACGATACAACAACAGGGCTGGGGTGAGGGTGAGGCTAAACAAACAGCCAAACTAAGTTATCTAAATTGTGTTTGGTTTGCCTGAGCCGAACCTGAGCTATCTTTTAATTACTGCCTGGCTTGAACTTTGGCTCACCTCCTCCATCGGAAGGCAGTAGAAAACAGATAGTCGATTACCCGCAGAATCTTGCCCGAAAACCACTACGCCATTTGCAACTGTAGTGGTGAAATGGATGCAAAGAAGTTTTGAGTTGTTGAGTAAAGCTGACTGCCGAGATTTGACAAATGAGAAAAACTGAGCCAAACTCACGATAAAGTTTTTTTTGAAGTTTTAATCTTTGCCTTACCAATCATTATTTCAGTTAAGTTCAGTTAGCTCATATAATTGTTTTTACAAGCGAAGAATGAAGAAAAAGTATTCAGTGCCAAGAACCGATTCTAATTATTAATGAACTCTGAACGCTACTATCTCTCCTCTACAAAAATGACGCACCAACGACATATGTCGAACCCTGTGTTGTGTATGGGCCAGTATGGCTTGGTAGAATTTTATCGAATGAAATGTTTGTTTATGTTTAGATACCCCTACTCATACTCGGTGTAATTTCAAATGGACCGAAATGTCAAAATATCAGCGATTCATAAATAATTAAAGGGAAATCAATTGTAAAATTTCTTCCTAGGCATGCTTTTAGGAAGGCAATCATACAAAAGACTAAAGATTAGAATGTCAATGTGCATGTCAAAAATATCGTTATCAATACACAAATAGGTACCATATCATGATATTGAAATAAAGACATCAATCAATTTTCCGATAAATATCCACTCAAAGGCAAAAGCTGGAAACTTTTACATTTCAATTTGAATAGTACCTACGAAATTACCTGAGTCGACTCAGGCAGTTTCGTACTATTCAAATAGGTACTAAGGTGATCACCTTACATCAAATGATCAAAGAGAATTGTCTAAATTTTTATCTAAAATTGATGGTATACACCTAGGGTAGGACTGTAGGTACATTTAGACAGCATTCAGAGTCTGGTACCTAGTCGTAAAGCAGGTGTCACACTTGTTTTTCCAACCAAGGAGAGCCGAGAGGTGCTATACCCAAAGATGCTTTCTAATCAAACCAATCCAAACCTAATTGACCTAATCTTACCTACAACCTACAAACTAAAACCTACAACCTAACCTACAGCACCTCTCCTTGGTTGGAAAAAGCAAGTGTGACACCTGAATTACTGCCTTCTGCCCAAAGGCTTTGATGACAACAATGATACGTGACATCACCTAGGATCTATGATGCAATGTAAAATGCAATCTTCTTGACATTGTGCTGCATCATTTTTAATATTTGCTGTTTAGGTGACTCCAAATTGAAATGAGTCTTATTCTTGCCCAGTAGGAACCTTCTGCAACTGGCTTTGCTTACAAATACCATTTGATGATGGCCTCTTGACATCATTTGTCTTTGTTTATGAAGCCTCAGTGCGCACCTTAGGCATGCTCTTGTCTGCTACGAGACTGGCTGTTACTGAATTACAATCTGTCATACTTGTGTCACCATTTTCTTCTTTGTGTGCACCCAGTCCCAACTACCCTGTTGGCTTCCCAATCAGTTTCCTTTAGGTAATCCAGGACCATGGATTTTCTATTTGCACTGTATGCTGATGAGCTGTTCTGTTTCAGGAGCTGTGCTGCAAGCATATGAATATATTGGCTGGAAAGGACAGGTCATACTAGGGAAGACTTGTGTATGGTAGAACCAAAAATGGTGTCAGACAGTGAGCCATGTGTCTTCATCTATGGTCCAGAGGCCACCATAGTGAATAGAATCATTCATTGTAAGTGAAAATCACTCATACAATCCTTTATTCCATAATTTGTCAGTATACTGTACATATCTGTGGCATTTTTAATTAAAACGCTGCCATAAATAATGTCCATGTGATAACTTCCACATGAACCATCCCAACCAACTGAGAACCAACTACTCTACTACTATTTGTGAAAAGTACCTTCCTAGGTGCCCATGGAAATCATACAAAGGCCTTGCTATTAAGGAGTGTGCTACTAAAGTGTGCTACTTAAGTGTGGCCACTTGGATATTTATGAAAGCAAACAATATCACTTTGTTTGTCTAGATTATTGGTAACTATTAGAAGTATTCAAGTCTTTTGTGATATTTTTTATCACATCACTATCACTATCACTATTTCCCACACCACACTGGCACCCAGTCCCTCTCAGCCCCCTCTGACCCCTGACCCCTCTGTGGACCGCGGCGGGCAGACATGGCGGGCGCGGGCGCCGAGCGGCAGGCCGTCTCCGACATGGCCGTCTGCTATCCGTGGCACGTCGACAACAAGTACTACACGGCCGACGTGCGGCTGTGCCACGTGCAGCGGAAGGGCCTGCCGGACCAGGCGCTGGCCGACCGCTGCGAGGCCGTCATCATCTACTTCAACTCGGACGAGGCGAGTTAGTGCTGCTGGCCGCTGCCAGTCGAGACTGTTTCACTGTGGCAATATTGAGAATAGCGCGATGCAGCTTGGTTTTCTCAGTTGTCCGCTTGCTATCAGGTATGAAAAGGCTCAGTGATTCATTTATGTCATTGTTTTTGTTAACGTTCGTTTTGTCAAGTAAGGTTTATTGAACTACAGGAATAAATAGCATGTCTCTCCGTGTGACGTGTTGATCCAAATATTTGTCGAAACGAGTCCTCTATGTATGGTATTGATGACGTGTTCCACTGTGCGGCAGGCGAATGGTCTGGACGAGGTCGACTCGATCCTGACGTTTACCAAGGAGTTTGAGCCGGACGTGTGTATGCTGGTGTGTGAGACGTGCAGCGAGAACACGCCCGTCTCGCGGCTCAGAGGTGAGCCCTCCGCGGTGGTAACTGCACCGCCGCGCCGCCGTCAAGCAGGCGCAGAGTGGCTGACTTTCTGATGTGCACTGTGCAAGTCCAATAACGAAACTGATGTTTTTATGTCAATTAATTACATAGTTCACGATGTTGCATGAACTGTATTCAATGGGTCTATTACAATCCGCTCTTGTTAGCCTCGAAATCGGATACCATATGTGCAATTCAGCAAAATGATTCGTTCTCTTAAAGTAACCTTGAATAATCAACAAAGCTCTCCTTCCCCCCCCCCCCACACACACACCATTTAACGACCGCTCCGTCCCCACCCCGTCTGACCCTCCCACCCCGCCCCTTTCGTCCGGCCGCAGCTCAGGAGTGGTGCGTCAGCCACGGCTTCGAGCTGGTCGAGTTGTCCCCCGCGGACGAGGCCGATCCCGATGACGACTTTCCCGAGACGACGGGCGTGCAGCGGATAGTACAGGCGCTGCACGCGCACACCTGGTCCAACCTGGAGATGAAGGGTGGGTGGCGACGGACGGGCCGACACCAAGCCGGGGACGGGATGTAATACACTTGGCGAATACGCGGACGGGCCTTGCTGTGTGGCGCCAATGCATGGTCGCAATGACTTCGATGTGGAAACTAAGATGAAGTTTGACTTTTTTGCCGGTTGTCCGCCGTATTCGCGGCTAATTTGAGATATCGAGATACAATTTTGTAGTCTACTCGTATGTATGCGGCATATGCATCGATGCATATGTTCTGTTGTCTCACATGAGACGATTTCCGTCCTCAGATCACCAGCCTCCAGTGTCCAACAAACTGGTGAACGACGTCACGGCTGAGCGGGTACCGGACAACGCCACCCAGGGCAGCGGGGGCGGGGGCGACGCGGAGACGACGCCGGCGTCCCAGACGGCCGCCGAGGACGCCGCCACCGCCGCCTCTGTCGGTAGGTGGTGACGCCGCAGTCTCTTGTGTGGGGAGGCTAGTATCTGTGATCAAGGGCTGTTGAATCGATAGTGTCAGGTCGGATTGAGCGGGTAGGCACGGTGCGTGTGTCGGATCCTGACTGTTAGATAGTCAGCTGGCCACCTTTTTCCGGGATTCCCTTAAACTTCACAATGGTAGCTACTGAAATGTCGTTCGCTAAGAAAATTATTCACTGAACGCGTTATCATCCACCAACTACCAGCCACCACGTATGCTGTCTTATCAATGTCTCCTCCGTTAGATTAGACCGCTGGCTCGCTGCCCTGCCCTGTGGTCGTGTCCACTGCACTGGGCCGACTGTCACCCGCTGGTCCGGACCTCTTGGTACGGACCCACGCTGACCCCCGCTGCCCGCCCGCCGCAGACACGCTGGTCACGGAGCTGGCCGGTCTGATGGGCTCCGGCGGCGGCGGCGGCGACCCGTCCGAGCCCGGCGGCGCCGACGACTTTGAGCTGCTGTTCTCCCAGCTGTCAGAGCTGAGGGCGGCCGCCGCGCGCGCACCGCCCCACCAGCGACACGAGATGGCCGAGCGGGTGGCGATGGCCTTCCTCCGGTCCATGGGCGGGGACGAGGACGGGGAGGACTCGGATTGAGGACTGCTGGGACGGGGAGGACTCGGATTGAGGACTGCGGACTGCCGGAGGGACTGGTGGGACGGGGACCGACCAGGGGCCGCGGGGGGGGGGGGGAATCCGCCTGTTATCTGTGTTTGGAATGGAGTCATGTTATGTCAGTGATGGAAACGGTGAGAGGTGTCGCTCGTTGATTGGATATTTGTCGTGTTTGGTGATGGTGCCTATGGTGCCGCTCATTGTCCTCGCAAAATGGTAGGTTTGGCCGTCATTTTGATGGGCTAACTCCAAAGCGTTGGTACGGGAGACGAAACTGGACTGGACCTTCCAAACGTTACGTTTTTTTTTAAGTTTCGTAGTAGACCGGACAATATTTACTCTGCAACTAAGCTGTACCTTTCTCTCGTATATGTAATTGCTGTTTGAAGGCTTATCGCTACACCCTGTCTTGCTTTTCGCTGCGCGAGGACATCCTGTTTTTCTCCGTGTCTTTTGCTCATGTGTTCATTTATTTTTTCCGTTACGTTCAACCACGCATCATGTTATTCTTTGTGCATGTTCAGCCTCGGAGTGATGAGTTATTTTTTTGATGCTGTATTGTATGTTGTGCGATAATAAGCTCTAGGATACTGTTATACGCACCGTATATCGTGTCTGTGAACCATGCCGTGTACCGGCAATATGTCGACCACCTTCGTCGGACCATATGTTCCACAGGTACACGTCAGCAATGGGTATTTTGTTATGTCCGGCGGGCTGTGTTAATACGGTGAGATGATACATATGTCTGAAATACACGTGTATATCAGTGATATGAAGAGTGTCGCGGCTGTACTCGAAATAGTTTCCAACATCCAATTACGATATCCGCAGTTTCCTCAGGATTCATGAGTGACGTTTATGTGAGGCGTCTCTTAAACTATAACCCAAAGGACACATCGCATTTATTATAAATAATTACAAAACATGTGCATGGCATCAACTTCAACAACAATAGGCATCGCCAATAGGAACAAGGCAATGCACCGGCTGAGTAGGACCAGTCTCCAGTCCCCACAGTTTGTTGCATCACGGATGTCCCGGCAGGACCAGGGTGGCTCCCCAGTCTCCACAACTCGCTGCATCATGACGAGTGTGGATGGCGAAACGGGCACCGGCGAGGGGCTGCCGGCGGGCTCCGGCCAGCGCCACAACCAGACAGGCACTATCGTAACGCCTCTGAGCTCTGTGCCGACACCTCACAGCTCACGACACCAGTAGTTACCCAACCCGGTGTCGCCTAGTTACCGTCCTCGCGCCACCCGAGTAGAGATCACTGACCAAAAGTCCGAGTCTATGACCGCCGGCCAGCCGTCTCAGCCGTCGGCGCCGGGGAAGAAGAGCAGACCGGCCATGCCCTCCTGGAGGGCGCGCAGACAGCCGAGCGAGGCGGCGTACCCGCCGGCCCGCTCGGCGTCCCCCACCCGTTTGATGTGCGACAGGTAGCCGTCGGCAGAGAGCCGCTCCGAGTCGGGCGCCGCCGGACCGTCCATGGCCAGCTCGGGCGCCGCGTACACGAACGGTTCGCCCTCGTCCTGCGGGACGATCGGCACCGCCGGCAGCCGCGTGCCGCCGATCCGCACACCACTAGAGAACTGGGTCGGCTTGGGGCGCGGCTTGGGAGCCACCGGCGCCTCCGGCTCGGCCACCTTGGTGTGAGAGGCCACAATCTTCTTGGCGTCACCATACGAGGTCATGAGCTCGTCGATGAGCGCCTCCTTCTTCTGCACCTTGTTGCGCTTCTCGGCCTGCAGCCGCTCCTGCTCCTCGCGCGCGCGCTCCTCGTTCAGCTCGTTCTCCATCTGGAGGATCTCGTCGAGCTCGTCCTCCTCCGTGCGACCGCGCGCGCGGTTACGCACGATTGACTCGCGGTTGTCCCTCTTGTAGGCCTCGATCTTTTTGTTGGTGGCGAGCACGTCGATGCCATTGACGAGGTTGTAGATGATGGTCTCCACGTCCTCCAGGTAGTCGTTGTACTCGCGCAGACTGGCGAACTCCTCCTCCTGTTTGTTGAACTCGCGCAGGATCCGGCGCCGGATGTCGATGTCCTTCTCGACGCCGGCGTCCTCGAACAGCTGCACGCGGAAGCCATTGCGGCGCAGCGGGACGTCGCACTGCGGACAGGTGCCCGAGCCTGCGGCGGCCGATGGTTAGACTGGTCGGGGTACTACTACTGCTGTTGGTGGTGGGCGAGTACACGGTGCTGGTCTTTTGTCAGAATAAACACTGCTGAGTACAGAGTGCACACAGGTAGTTGCAGTTTATGATACACATCAGTCTAAGTGCTTTTCTATACTAGTCACTATAGATGTCATGAGAGCAACTTATAGTTCTGACATCATTTCTAGATAGAATTAACTTTCCAGCTTTAATTGATAGTGTACTTTAGCATCATGCAAATTGAGAACCATGAAAATTTTAAGAGCTTAGCAAACCATGCAGTATAGTTTGCAGTGTAGGTGATGCATGAGCTGATATATACATTCTTGTTACACAATTTCCTATTACCTTTGGCAAAAAGAAGGTTCACACAATTTTCACAGAGAGGATGTCCACACACATTAACCATTAACTTCATTGAAGGATTTCTGTACTTGCTGGTCTTGCATCTTGGGCATACTTGGTCTTCATCCATGTTTGTTGAACCTCCAATGACTGAAAAATTGAAAATGATATAAATTGGCACATAAGCATAACAAAAAGCCTGAACCATAGACAGCAAAAGTCTGGGTACCAATCACACAAAATGGTGATGCTAAAGGGAACAAATGGAAAGGCTGATGTAGGGCAATGATGTTTTGAGAGAAAGGTATCAAAGTGCAGACATCTCAAAATAATAGGTACCTAACCAAATACAAATATTTTATGGGCTGGGACATGCACCTTGTTTTTCTAGGCTAGTGTCTTTTAAATTGTGTTTATTTGACATCTGACTTTATCATTAGATGGGTACCTACTCCATGTAGGTACATAATGTGTGGAATACAATATAAGCAATCACAGGCCTATAGTTACTCTTGTTTAAGCAGTTTACTTAGAAAAACTGTAAAATTGTAGGAAATGAAATAAGATCTTTCACTCATCTGATCTGATTTATTGATTAGCAAGTCAGAATTCTCCCATAATTGAGGGAGTTAATTCCTAGCTTAATGCATCATTCAGGTAAATTCAAATGAGATTGAAGCATTTTTAATTATCAAAATATAGAGGTAATCAAAACCTAGATACTGAGCATATTGAAATGAGGGGACTGATTCAAGAATGCAATATAGGCAACAATTTCACAATTCCCCTTTTAAAATCAATTACCAATTTCAGACGAATAGTGAAGGCTGAACGAGCCCAAATATTTTGTATTGCTTCACGACAAAATCAAAATAACACAAGGTGAAAATGCTTCTGGTTTCAGCTTTGCAAAATAAGATAAAAAAGACACAGGTCACAGACCCCCACGCGGGGGGGATTTTCCCAAATCGTTTGAAACAGCTGCGTCATATATGCAACGCATTGTGCTACCATTTTACGAAGTTTTCCTTTTCTGCTCAAAATTCATCAAAATGGAAGTGAATTCGTAGAATCTTTTCGATAAATGTCTTTTATTGCATAATTTATGATACAACAATACTTCACCCTGAAAAATAAGAAGTTATTAGAAACAAATTTGCTGCGAGTCTTGTATTTAGGCCGAGTAATTTGTATTTGCCGTCATCAAAAACTTTTTAATTTAGCTGTAGCGAGGGCCCTACCCGACCCCCACCGGACACGATTTGGTAGCCGAGGTCTGTGACGTCAGCCGGGCGTTAAGTTTTCCCTTCACCATAGGCTTCACACACAAACTGGCCGAAGTTCATGCCAGGATAGCCCGGCTTGAAAGTGCAAAAATGATTAAATTTTGCCCTCAAAAGATTCATTGCTTCATTTTATAACTAAAAACGTCCGTTATTAGGCCTCAATGAAGGTAAAAAGTACTCAAAATCGAAGTTCAAGAAGATGCTATCCGAGCACAATCTGGTAACATCACGTGACCTCTTTTAAAGGGACTATCCCACCTTTAACATGGGGTTTGAGTTGAGATAGCCAAGTTTGCGGCGAGGTTCAGAAACCACTATCTATCTAGGTTGCAACCCCCGCGGCCTCTTGGTGTTGAAGAAATTCGTTCCCTTCATTTGAAAATGGGCCTTGTGCAAGGCCCTATCTTCAACATGGAGCGACCGTTAGTGTGACGTCACCTCGTTTAGTCATTCTGATTAAAATGGGTTTGTTCGTTGAAAAATCGCTTAAAACTTGGTCTGAACTTTGTTGTGGTGCCTACAGAGTAAAAAGAATCAGCTTTATGACAGTAATGTTGCCTGGGGAAGGAGGTAATTTTGGGCTGTGACGTCACATATTTGAAAGTTTGTGTTTGGAATACGGGAAGCCTAAGATGTTTAATGAAAAATAAATGCCAGAACCGTGTTCCTGGTCATCCAATCTATAAAGTCGGGCACAATTTAACTGGTTTTAACAACATTTTAGAAGGTGGGATAGTCCCTTTAAGCAGAATGTATATAATGCAAGGATGTTATTACACGATTGCTGCCTAAAACATCATAAATAATACGCTTGTAACATTTATTGCTTCTGTTTGAGTCATAACATTGCAAAACGCAAAGTTTATCATGGCAGTCACGTGACCAAAGGTATAGCAGGGGTTGGGACAAGCACTCAAAGGATTTCAAGTTTTTTAATTAAATTATATAAGTTTCATGATGAAATTGAAAGAATGTATTTTTTCCTAATGAAATACAAATTTTCGTATGTAAAATATTTTCCTTATGGGCGAAATTCTCCATATAAGAAATGTCAGTGACGTCACCAGGGCTTTACTCAAAACATCCGACCAACATCCGACCTACCTGTTTCTTATAGGTATCTTGCCCTACCACTTAGTGTGATCCAAGGCCCTATATACCAGGTAGGGTCGTCCGGCGATTCTACCTGATCGTGACGTCAGCTTGTGACGTCATCTGGGGGCAAGTCTTGAAGCCCCGTTTGAGTCCCATGTAAATGGGCGATTTTTGAAGCGCTGTAGAGCAAACTCTGTTGGAGCTAGCACAAAACTAAGTGCATCATCGGAAAGACGGGGACATTTTTCTTTGAATTATCTAAGAGCAGTTTTTCACTAAACCCATTAGTTTTTCCGAAAATTCGTAATAAAGCCCCCATGCCTCCGCAGCCTCCCTTCCGCCGGCCGCTGCGCCGCCGCGGTAGGGTAGTGGTTAGGAATTAGGATGCTTGCACCGTGATCCAAAGGTCGTGCGTTCGAATCTAGGCGCGGGTCGCTTTCAAATCGAAATTGCAAGCAGAATATGTGTTTTTTCTTTAAAGGGACTATCCCACCTTTACATTAAGTTTGAGTTGAGATAGCCAAGTTTTCGGCGAGGTTCAGAAACCACTATCTATCTAGGTTGCAACCCCCGCGGCCTCGTGGTGTTGAAGAAATTCGTTCCCTTCATTTGAAAATGGGCCTTGTACAAGGCCCAATCTCTTAACCATTAACGGCATTCTGATGACGTCATTTGCCCTTTGAACGCCTCTTCGCATTCGAGTAGAGTATCACTTGATTTACGAATAAGCTGGCGTTGGCTGACTCGGCGCCCCGGCGGCACCCAGCGGCGGCCTCGGCGATAATAATTGGGTTTGGACTTGGGTTTGGATAAATTTACCGTTTGTTTTATTTTTTCAATTTGTTTCCATTTCCTGAAATGGAAACAAGTTGAAGATTTGCTTGTCTAAGGCAGCAAGATTTATAAACATCGCCAAATTTATCATATGCAATTGGAGCTTGTTTCAGTTTTTATAGCAGGGTCATGAATATGATACAATTTTCTTTCAATGGTAGATTCGTCATGGTACAGTACAATTTCAATGGTTATTTCGAGTAATTTATGTCATTGAATTGAAACTGCAAGTACATGCCACATAGGAGCTTATCCTCTTCAAGTTTCAGTCTTGATCCGACTGATTTGTCAAGAGTGCGAAAAGTGAGGCGACAAAAGAGAGCTACAGGTTTTTCAAGATTTAAGTGTTCTTGAATAGCAGGTTATACAACATTGTGCTGTGACATAACCACTGGGCCTTGTGCCCCCTGTGACAGAGCCCCTGCATCAGCTGGTCTGACACGGCTGGGCTCGCAAGTCGCAAAGAACGTCTTGGTGCTCTTAATTATGATTGATGCTTGTGCTGTAAAAGAAGGGTACCTACATGGCAAAATACATTTGTATGTAATTTCTTGCCACAGCACCCACCTACATGTACATTTTTGTTGTCTTTGTGTGAAAAATGAATATATTTTAAGGAAATTAAGGCATTTCTGTTTAAAGCATGCAGAAGTTCGTGTGTGATGCTGTCCCGGTAACTCATGTGGAACAGAACAGGCTGCAGACTCAGATCGTGCTTGAACAGAGACAATATCAGTTATCTACATATGCGCATGCTTTGTAAGTTCCCTGCCTTTTCCCAGATTCTACTTGCTAGTTGTGAAAGGGATCGGACAAGGCAAGGTACTCATGCTCATGGTGCCACCATATGCAATTACTGACAGGTGAATTCGGTGACTAAAATCCTTAACACTCTATGGATAATTATTCTGCTCTTATGTTCAGTATGTTGATATCAGAAACTCACCGAGGTAACCTGCCCTGTGGCATTTCTTAGTTCAAAAATGTAAGCATTACACTCATCAGTCATGTAACTTGTATTTACATCCATGAACAAACAATGTGCAAAGGAGCTACCCAACCAGGTACAAGCAGTAGTGTCTACAGCGTAGCGCGTACCGCCTCCGCAAGGGGCGCGCCCCTCTACAATGGGCATGCGCGAACCCCTTCTCTGCAATGGGCGCGCCGGCGAACGTACGCGAGCGATCACGGGTCGCCACCACGACCGACGGCGACATCACCTGCTGCGTCTGGCTCGGCGAGCGCAGCTGGGAGCCGGCTGGAACAGACAGAGCGGCGTCACCCGGCGGAGAGACACGCGGGGGACGGGATAGACAGACACACGGGCCGACAAACTGGGAGAGATTCGAACGCCCGCACGGCAGCAGGGCAGGGAGCAAACATGCCCGCTATATTCACGTGTCGATTACCATGACGTCAGTCTTGAGCACAAGCTGACTTCATCCCTACATCCCGTTTTACTTATAATCATAATTGAGGTCCTGGATCGGTACACCGGCTCAGTCATCTGTTGACGGCGGCGCACAGCGTGACCTACCCGCCCTTCAGCCGGCCCCAGCAGGGTGAGTAGTGAGTACTAATACCCGCCCCCATGCCAATGCCAAAATCACTAGCACTGAGAGTTTTATGGAAAAGCCCTCCTCAGCGGCCGGTATGAGCTGGCCGTGCGGCGGCCGCGACTGACCTGCGGCCGCTGAAGGTCTGGTGAGTCGGACGGGCACCTCCGGCACTGTCGGCAGGGCGGCCGATTTGAGCGCAGCGCTGTCCAGTCGGACTGACGGCAGCACAGAGACCAGCTGTCCGTGCAGGCAGTACTGGTGGCCCGAGTCGCTACTGCTGCGGACCCGGCCCGGTACCGGCGCCGGGTGGTGGCCGGCCGCGGCGGGGAGCGGGTCCGCCGTCCGCTCCGCGTCCCCGGCCGCCCCGCCGCCGCTCTCTGGACCGGCCGGAACGGTGACGGTGACCGCGCTGATCTGAAGGCACACCTCCAGACGCTCCAGGGCCGGCAGCCAGGCCAAAGTCGGAGCGGCGGGCGGCGCCGGCGGAGTGGGGGAGACGGCCGCCGCAGCGGGGGTGTTGGGTGACACTGCAGGTAGGTTCCTCTCCGTGGTGTGGCTCCGTGCCGATCGCGAGGTACCTGAGTGTCCGTGCGGCCGGGGCACATCCACGGCCGGCGAGCGGCGGCCGGGGCGACTAGACGCCCGGCCCTCCGCTGGCGGCGGCGGCGGCGGCGGCGGCGGCGGCTGGGGCAGTGGCGGCGGCGCCGGGCCACTCAGCTGCTGGCCAGCTGAGTGGCCAGGGACAGCCAGAGCAGCAGTGCCGGCTGCCAGCAGGCCGGGCGCCAGCAGGCTCCGGTGCAGCCGAAGCAGGCGGCCGCCCTGGCGCACGCTCAGCTCGCAGTAGTGGCACACCTGCTGTGAGCGGGTGCTGGGAGCCGGCCCACAGGGCCGGCGCCAGCAGCGCCTTCCAGTAGACCCAGGCTGAGGAGAGCGAGGCGACCTGGTGCTCCTGGGCGGGCTGGCCGTCGGTCGCGGCCGAGACCAGCACCGCCTGGTCAGCCGTCACCTGTAGGGCGCACGGGGAAAAGGGATACAGTCAGGAGCCGCGGCCGTAGTTATTCATTTCCAATCGACAATAGGGCATTGGAGCAGTGTTCCCGCCACTTCTAATGAGTAGTTATGTCGAGCCTACCACAGTGTACTTCACAACTAGAAAACGCACTCAACAATAATCACACAACAACGGCACACTCTCAGGGCCATTCTAACAAAACACCCGCGGTTATAATTAGCATTACTCGGTATAATGACTGACCGTGCATCGTGTGTGGACGTGGCAGTTGTAGAGCAGCGCAGCGGTCGGCCGGCGCCGCTCAAGCTGGGAGACACACCGGCACAGCCGGGACGGGTACATGGGCTGCTGCTCGTTCCACTGGATCGTCTGACAGCGCAGCTGGAGACGCACCTCACCGGCCTGAGGACGGGGGAACCGGGACAGATAAACAATACACCAGCAATGCTGGGAGACGCACCTCACCGGCCTGGGGACGGGGGAAGACTGGGTGATACAACCGGGACAGACAAATAACACAGCTGCTGTAGACGTATATACCTCCCCGGCCTGGTGACCGCGCGCGGGTGATGCGACTTCATAGATCAACAGCGATCAGCCGGATCATCGGAGCAAAAAAGCACGCATCTCAGGAGCCCATCTCCTTGCAAGTCTGCGATCATATCTCAACGCCTAACTGCAGCAGCTCTTCAAACAATGAAGCTGATGCTGCCTTTTCGAACATCCCCGCTATGCACGGACCCACGCCTCCCAGCTCCCCGTTGGCGGCCACCACTGTCAGCCGCCGCCCCTTCCTCCGCTGCGCGGAGACCCACCTTTTCCAAGTCTCCATGGCCAGCCACCACGGTGACTCGCGGCTCCAGCACCGTGAGCTACAGGCCGCGAGCCGGGGTGTTGGCCTCCAGCGCCGCCGCCTCTCCGTGCGGCACTGGGCCCGGGCGGGCCTCTCCGTCCGCTGCGGGAGAGGGCAGAGGGTAGAGGAGAAGGTCAGGGCGGGCCTCCCCGCCTGCAGCAAAACAGGGGGAAGGAGCGGTCAGGTGGGTCTCCCCGTCCGCTGCAGGAGAGGGCAGAGGGGCGTTAGTGATAGTGGGCAGATGAAACGGAATGTTTATTTAAAAGATATACGCTTTTTCACTAGTACGGCAACTACACTTCTCAGAGGTGAAAATCGCTGATATAATTGGGACGCACTGCCGAAAAAGAAGGAACTTGCAAGTCACAAGCAGCGATGGGGACGACTCATGAAGAACAGTGCATCATGTTAAACAACTTCAAGCTAACTCTGAGCGCTACTCAGTACACACTACTCACCCTGCTGGGGCCGGCTGCAGGGCGGGTATTGGTACTCACTACTCACCCTGCTGGGCCGGCTGTAGGGCGGGTAGGTGACGCTGTGCGCCGCCGTCAACAGGTGACTGAGCTGTCAGAAAGTCACACGTCAATAAACGAGTCCTTTCTACACGCTGCGTCTAAATCACTCTAATGGACGTTACAAAAACACGCCAGGATTCTACGATCCTTGTCCAGTTTCTGCAGCAGCAGCGCGAGTCACTGGCAGCGCTGTTGCTGCCAGACGACGGCCGTCGGCGCCCGGCACACGCGCGCCGCGCACCGGTCGGCGTGTCAGCTGGTAGCGGCTGTGCGCTGCGAACGCCGGCGCAGCAGCTGGCGGAACACGACAACCTGGCGGGACGCATGGCCGGGTCAGAGGGGGAGTGGGAGCCGACAGGGTCAGCCACATCACAGTGGATGCCTACCTCACCCCACACTGACAAAGTGCCACCATGCCAGGAAAATGTTTCACCTCAGAACAGCATGAACCTAGAAAGAAAACAGGATTGCATAGCTCCTGTATAGAATAGTCATAGACATAAAGCATAGACTCAAATTATTGAGCCATAGCCAAGATTTTACTGAGGGAGGGGCCACAGGTCGCGGCCTAGTGTCGTACCCCCTCCAAAAAGGAAAACTCGGATTTGGCCCACTATTTTTGGGGGTATGGTACAGCTGTTTTTATTTATCTTTATGTTATTTTATTTAATTTCTCGCCTTTGGGGTAGACCATGACAGCCGTGGCCACTCCCTTGGCTACATCCCTAGATTGAACGAAGAAGCAAATTGAAGAAGCAGCTTTGACCATAGGCGCAAACATAATATGGAACAGACTACATTTTTATGCAGTATGTTATGAAGTCAACATTGCATGCTTTATATAGGCAATCTAATCTTCACCAATCCATTTTGTTAAGCACTTACCTACTTTTCTAGTTTCAATTGATTGGTCAATGCTCGTATACATAATTATCAGCATTCAAATATATGATGCTGAGACATGTTCAATCTCTGACCAACTCCCTGTATACAAAAGAAATAATTGTAGCATTATGCATAGGGTCATAACTTACTGATCACTTTCTGTCAACAGCCTGCAAGCAGCATTGCAATCTTCCCTCCGCAGTGACGGAGACCTCTGTCATGTGCGCATGGTGTGTTGTGTTGTGTTGGCATTCAAGAAATTTCAACAGCTAAGAAGGAAAAACAAAAATTTCTTTAAATACCTGCATGTTTGCTATAATAGCAAGCTAGGATGCAATGAGTATAAAAGTATACAAAAATCCCAATCAATAGGTTCAGAATGGAATAGGTTGTGAGGTGTTAGGTACTGTAGTAGGCTGGTTGAAAGGTTTGTATGTCGTAGACATCTGGCATGGGGGTTTTAGGTTGGTATTAAGGGTATTACAAACTTTTTAGGAAAGTAGGTAAGATTAGGTCAGGAATGTTGGTTATTTTCATTCAAATTTCACACTTGTTCACTTTAATTGTATTCCAAATTGACACAATTTTTTTTAAAGCTATGGTGAAAATATGTTCCTTTCCTATGTGAATTGTGATGTTAGTATTTGAATTTTATATGCAGGAAGTCAAACATACTTACATTGACTATCATACCACCAACTACAAAATGCCCAATCAGAGACACTTTTGTTATTGTATGAGCCGCGTCATATTTGAAAGCAAATATATTTGCTGCCAAATTTCCCCCTTCATTGGCATGAAGTAAATCCTTCATTACGTCACAGATCCGATCTAAATGACGTCACGATGAAATATAAAAGTCGCAATATTTCAAAAAGTATACAATGAAAACGCGTAAAAACTTGCAGAATTCGTCACAGTGCCCTAAGTAACATTTCCGAATCCTAAACGGGATTTTTTCGAAGGTGGGATAGTCCCTTTAAAAATCACTTATATTACATCTACCCGTTCATAAAACTATCGATAACAATTGACTGAAAGCCAAAATATGGATTACATTCTTATAAAACAAATTCAAATATGGCGGCCGTTGCGCTAGGCTCCACCCCCGACTCCGCCCCTTCGTGTGACGTCATCTGTGCACTTGGACACACAGGGAGATAGGGGACGACATGGGCCTGGTGTGATCGCTATTTATCATAAGTTGAAATTTGTCAGTCGCACAGTTGAGCTGGTGTTGGGTGGTATTTCGAGGTGAGGAAAATATGTGTAAATCTGTATCCTTCACTGGTTTTCTCAAAATTGTATCTTAAAATCCTTGCGGGCTGACTTACTTTTCATAAATCCATTTGTTTGCACTTCTTGCCGCTTCAATCAGCTTCCGGTAGCAGTAGCGGCTGGGAGATTTCAATTTCCGCTTTCTTTGTTATCGTTCTTTTCGTCTTCGTCTGAACGTCAATGACTATTTTTCAATGATTTGATTGTCCAAGCGTTATTTTTTCATAACATCCTCTGTATTTGGGTCCCTTTGTAAGGATTCATAAATGAGCTCAGTCTGCCAGGGCCGGCGGGCCGCGCTGATGAACACACCAACAGTCCAACACCCTGCTACACCACTGACGACTTGTCAGTGGTGTTGCAATTTTTATTGCAAGTTTTCAGTATCCTGTATTTTCCATTGAAATATTATCCAGAATCCAGATTGCTGCTGACAAGCACCAGGCTGCCAACACATATTTGCTGCTAACTTCTTTGACTAATGCTGCAGCGGCATTTTTTCAATTTGCACATCAAAATTTTGTCAGCTGGGCTAATACAGCATCTGCTGATGTAAGAAATAATACCTATCAGTTAGCCTTACTGGTAGGTATCATCATTAGTTTTTTCACTTGGTTGGTTTAACTTTTTTAAGACTTAAATAAAATTACTAGCAGCAGGCAATTTTTCTGTTGGTGAACTGGCCACTGATCCTGATCCTGAGATCTGGTGAAAGATAGGAGAAGTCAGAGTGCCATTAGGATTGAGGTTATGCTTGATGGTGGCAAACACTTTTTAATCCCTAAGATGGTGAAATGATGGGATTTATTACTCCCTATCACTGCTCAACCTGGCACAAAAGGTATACTAGTAAGTTACATTTATATACCATCAGGTGGCAGATGCAGGTTGTGTCTTTATTTGTTAAATTAATATGATAGTGGACAGTGATATTAACATGGTTCCAAGTCTGATGGTGTGGTACAATAATGATAGTCCAATTTTAACGATATGGAGTGCCAGTAGATCGGTAAGGGCTGGCTCAAGGCCGCATCTCCATCGCGGTACGCAGATAACATTTACGGCGGACATTGCTGGTTACGTGTGGACTGCGCGCAGTGTGACAGTTTTGATCCGCCTGTGTGTACTCGATGAAAAATAAACCATCACCTGCGCTGACGGCTCGCCGGCGCCCGTCGGAGGCGCGCTGCGGTAACGGGGCATTGTCCGGCCGGTGGTAGCGGCGGCCAGTTTCTGACTCAGCGTCTCCGGCCTGTTCCAGGCGGGGTGGCGCCCAAACGTAGCCAACAATGACCCGTGAGTACACCGGGGCGCACTTTCCGCGTTTGGGGCTCATTTTCCGCGATTGATAAGTTTTTTTTATCGACGTCAGTTGTCACTCGTATAGTGAATATGCCTAAAACACCATTTTACCTGATTCTACTATGTCTGGAAATGGAATGAGTGATTTCTATATTTAGTTTCATATATCTATGTCTATTCATATTCATATATGTAGTTTCACACCTGTTTATTCACTATGTTCCATTAGAGTTCCATTCGGATCACTATGTGCGTGCTCGGGAGCTTCGTTCTGTGACCGGGCTGCGCTCCGCGTACAGGCGGAAACCAGAGAGAGCTGGCCCGCCAGAAGAACATGAAGAACCAGAACAAGGCCAAGAAGGCTGACGAGATGCAGGGCAACAAGGGATTAACCAAGGAGCAGCGCCAGCAGAGGTGAGGCGGTCGGCCGGGAGCGGTGGGGACGGGGACGGGGGCAACAAGGGATTAACCCAGGAGCAGCGGCAGCAGAGGTGAGGCGGTCGGGGGGGGGCAGGGGGATGGGGAAGGGGGCAACAAGGGATTAACCAAGGAGCAGCGGTAGCAGAGGTGAGGCTGTCGGGGGGGGGGGGCCGTGGGGGCAGGGGGGCAACAAGGGACTGACCCAGGAGCAGGGCAGCAGAGGTGAGGCGGTCGGCCGGGAGCGGTGGGGACGGGGGCGGGGGCAACAAGGGATTAACCCAGGAGCAGCGCCAGCAGAGGTGAGGCCGTCGGCCGGGAGCGGTGGGGACGGGGACGGGGGCAACGATTAACCAAGGAGCAGCGGCGGAGCAGAGGTGGGTGGGCCGTGAGGACTGAGCAGCTGAGCGGACGAGGGAGGGGAGGGGACGCCTGAATTCCCAGGGGTGGGGGCTGGGCAGTGGACGTGTCGGCATCCTGGTATTTCCACATTGTCAGTGTGTATGAATAGTTCGGTACCTATATCTGTGGCATGGTGCGACTCACCTGCCCACTTGTGTGGCAAAGTTCCAATGGAATCTCCAGCAAAAGCTGCCATTCCCTGTATCCAGATCGATTGATTCAGAGCTGCCATTGAGTTCACAAATGTCAGCGCACGTGAGCCACACGTGCACGGCACGTGACCGGCAAATCTGGTTGCATGGCTGGGAAGGTTCGAGGGTCAGAAGGACCCGGGATCGATTCCCAGTGCGTTCTGATTTCCGGAGCTTTCCCCTAGGGCCGGGTAGAGTGAGGCGCGCGTTTGCCTGCGCATGGTTGGGCTTTTTAAAGCAATTAAGAAATCGATGTAAAGAATCGTGATATGAACCAAGACTCACCAGCAAGTCAGTTAGCAGTTTAGCATGCGTAATCTAACCGGAGATGAAATGCCAACTCGGTTAGATATTATGTTGTAAGAGATCATGTGATCATTACGAGCGGTGATTTGTATAATTGCGGCTGCCATTCCGCTTGCCACCTGTGGCTGCCAATTGCCAGCTACCGCCTACTCACCCCGTGTGCTGCGGTCGCCACTGACTCTGTCCCTCTCGCCCCAGGGATGCCGACATGATGCGACTCAAACAGCAAAAGGCGGCCGAAAAAAAGGCTGCCGAGACGGCGGCGGGGGCCGGCGGCGGTAAAAAGTGAGCCGCCCGACCGCCGGGACGCTCCGCCCGCCGCCTCCGCCCCCGCTCCCGCCCCCGCCCGCGACCATGCACTGTGCGATATCATATTCAAACTCACAATCGTTGCAAATTGTACTATAGAATATTACCGGAGAGCGGTGACTCGGTCGGATGTTCTCTGGAGATTCGCGATCGGCGCGCGCGGCTACCGCTTGGCTCGGGTGATCTTCCTGCGGGCGCGGCGCCGGCACTGCGCGGCCGCCATTTATGGCTTCTCTCGAGTGGACTGGAATCCAGGTGACGGGTCGGATCCTGAGTTCTCGGTTTAAGTGTGCATTAATTGTTTCCAATAAAATGATGGCGTTATTGCAGTGTTTTCTGTGTGTCCGCATGAAGATGACATGGGTGGTTGTGCGACCGCTTCTATCTTGTTTATGTTTAGCAGAAAAGATGGAAAGTGTATCGAAAGTTGAACCAAAATAAAATTCGACCAGTCTATTATCTGTCCTGTGTCTTGAAGGGACCCCCGCGAAACATTGTCATCTATTGGCTGGCAAACGCTGCGTCGTACGTACACTGGTACCGCTTGCCGGCAGGCGCTCAATGAGTCAGTTCTCGGTAGGTGACCATTGTCTCCCGTTTCCTGTGGCCGCGGTCACCGCCGTCCGCGGTTGGTTCGTCGGGTAACCCCCGGTGTCGCGCTCAATGAGCCGCCGCCTAATTAGCGCCCGTTTCCGTCGGGTCCGCCGACAGGTCACGTTGTCCGGTCCGTGGTCTGTACGTGGTCTGTACATATATAACCTGACCGTTTCGCCACGCCGACAGCTCCGGGTGGCTCTGCGTATTACCGAGTCTGAGAGCCAGGGCTCTGTAGCGCGATACTGATAGGTGCGGACGGCGCATCCGCTCGGCCTTTTTACCGTGTTTGAGAGCGGGCGTTGCCTAGAGACCGTGGCTCGATCGGGAAGGGTCAGGAACTCGTCTAAAAAGACTGTCTGGGTAGGAGGATAAGGATGGATGGTATGCCGCCTCCGTCCTCCGTCAACCGCGAGGTCGGCGCGGTTAGTTGTGTGTAATATAATAAAAGTACCTCCAAGGTGCATGTAATTTGACGTCAGTAAACAAGCCTCACTGACAAGCTTATCAATATCCATGAAACGAATTAACAATGGTATTTGCAGAGTCGGAGTGTCCGAAAATTTGTCCAGCAGCTCAGCACACTACAAAGCCTCCCAGCACTGTCAGGACAGCTGACATCATCAGGACAGAATCATGGTGTGCCTCGGGCCTACTTCTGCCGGGGTCCATTTAACGGGTCCCCGAGGCAAAACGCTGTTATATATTACTGAGTGCACCATGTAGATAGTGCTGCGCGGTGTCTGGACAGCCGACCCGAGGCTCTTATCGTCCTGGTAGCAGACAGAAGCCCCATCGGTTATAGTCCACGGACGGGCTGGCCGCCGCTGCTGCCACCTGTCGGTCGGCTCGGTGAGTTTCCGGCGGCGGCCGCCAGAGGCGCTGCGGTCGCCGGCCGCTCCCGGGCAGGTTGGCCCGGTGGGTCCGCGGCCACGCCGCGGCGCCTATCGATTGGCGTCGGCTGGTTGGCCGTCCGTCCGCCAGGCGGCTGGATGATCAATTGTCGCTGGAGCGGTGTTCGGAACAGTGTGTGACCCAGCCTGGGGCGCTGCAACACGCGAGAACGGCTCAGCGCGCCCCGGCGAGCGACCGACCGAGCTCGGCACAGCTCAGCGCGGCGACCACCAGGTGAGGAGGGGGCGGGGTCGAGGGGTGGCTCGGGTCAGACGGCAGGGTGGTGACCCGCGGCATATTGAACGCAACCAGCGCACCGAAACACAGACTCGGTCACACCTTGACCTAACATGGGTCTCCAGAGGCGCTTTAGATGGCTCCCGCCGGAGGCTCGAGCTTCCAAAGGGGCCCGGCAGCTCACAATGTCCCATCATCCGCTATGTCCCGCGCCCAGCTGACGGAGCAAACAGCCGGGAGGGGTGCGGGGGGAGGGGGCTAACCAGCACCCCGGGCGAGGTCGGCACCCGGCCGGCACGTGACCTATGACATCACATGGTCGAGTCTCGGGCTCTCCGTATGGTTCGGTATTGGCGGCGAGTCTGCCATGCAGCGCGCTCGCTGCGTGCGGGGAGGCTGATTGTCCCAAATCGATTGCCAGTGGCGTGTGAGAAGGGCGTGTCTGCCAAAGGGTGCTGTCAGTGGCCGGTCCAGGGCCGGGGCGAGCGGTTCAATTGACGCGTGTGACCAAGTGACCATCAACTGAGTCACATACTTACTGCTAAATGCCTGTTACTGACAATTTGGCGTTGTCCCCACCAAATCTGACTTGCTATTCAGCCTTCCCATCACTGTGCCAAATATGCGTGTTGATGTGAAGTGTCAAACATGATTTGATATATGGTAGGTATGTAGGTATTCGAGCTGGGGTGACAGCATTTTGTGATTGTTATCATCGTCGCTCGAAATCAAATACTTGCTAATCGTCATTTTTGTGTTACGTATAGATAGGTAGCTTATGGCCTTTTACTACATATTTTATTTTTAATGCTCGCATGTCGCTATAAAAACGCTCTCCTGCGAAGCACTCTATTCGAGCACCGGCGGAGACCTGTCACGACGTCAATTTTATGTCGTTGGCTGCACTTCCAAAGTTTGACGGCGACTCGTGCGATCGCTGCGAACAGCGCGGCGCAGTTAGCTGCAGTCGTCTGACCGGCTGAATTTATGGGAAAACTTGGCCGGCCGTGTGAGCGATCCGGCCGGCAAGTTGCCCGCGCTGCCCGCCCACTGCATGTCCGCGCGGCTTACCTGCCCGGGAGGCGCAGGGCGTCCCACGTCGGCCACGCTCGGCGACCCGATATCCGCCGGTCGGCCGGACGCAGGGCGCTGCAGTTCTCGGTGACAACGACGCGCTGCGGCTCCACGAACCAACTCTCGGTGGAAAGATACCTACCCATGTCCTCCCGGCGGGGCGAGCTGCGGTCTAATTAGCTCTCGGTGCGTCGTATGTCTAAGGGTGAGACTAGGTGCTGTGGGAATATATCCAATCAACCGAGAGCTTGTGGCCAGCTGATTTGCGCACTGAGTAGTTATGTGCAATATTCGCTGTGATCGGGCCTTATATGCGTTGGTACCTACTAACCCCTTGCATGCGTTCCACTATAAGGGTTTGAGCGGTAGAAGCTGCATGTCAGGGACCTTCTTTAGTCACCTCTACGGGCGTCACATTCCGAAATATAGAAGATTATTATTCAATCAATCGTAAATTCTGTCAGTATTTCTGAGGGTCCATGACTCCATACACAGTCGATTTCATCAGAACAGGAGTTCTGTTTCCCATCCGTTCCAGATCCATTACTGAGCCATCGCCCGGCCCTCTCCCATCGCTCGGCCCTCTGTCAGTTATGTCCGGGGACCACTCGAACAGTCGTCGGTAGTTCTCGGAATAGCTGGGTGAGTCAGTCAGCTCTCAGTCGTTCATCTCTCAGAAAGACGGTGGTGGTCGCAGTCGCATCGGTCGGACTGGATTTGGCTGAAAACAACCCATTGCATGCGCCTTGTCGGAGAATGCCGTTTGAAAGAGCCAATTAGTTCGCCCAACCACCTACACCCAGCCGTTTTGCAGCATTGACGATTAAAAATAAAAATTATTGATTATAAACATTGAACTAAATATCAAGCTCGGAAACTGCTGAAATGACACACATTGCTCCCGTGAAAAGCATCGCTAAGTCGGCTGCTATAGCCTATCCCTCCAATATCCCTCGAATGTCCCTGACTGTCTGGCCGTTGACTTAGCCGTCTCATAGGCGGTCTTAAATGGACCGGTCTCCTCTCAATGGCCGCAGAATGGACCTCTCCCAGTCCTGGCCTCTCCACAGGAGGGCCCAAACTGCCGTGGTCACCGTCCGTTTGCCGGCCCGGCTGTGGTTGCTGCGGCCTGGCCATGGTCGCTGTGCCGCCCCACCCCGCGCCCATGGGGCCGCGGCGGGCGGCGGCGACGTTATTGTGCCGTGGATCAGAGTCGCCGCCGGTATATACCGTCTGCCGTTAATCCGGGGAGCGGCGCCCGACCACGGCACGGACGGGGTTCGATCGCCACCGCCAAGCCGTCAGGAGTGACGTCATACCCTCCCCTCGGTCGTGCAACACCGGCCAGCGGGGAGCAGGGAGGGGGACGGGGGTAATTAGTGACAGGAACTCGGCGTGTAGCGATACCGCTGGCCGGCGCTGAGGCGTCGTCGTTACAGGCGAGACGGACAGAGAAATACAGACGGAAATTGCGACCGTGGCCGACCAAATTGAACGTCAGGGAGACGGACTGGTGCTTACTGAAAAAGTAATGTGGAGGATCAAGCGGGTCAGGATAGCTCGCCCCTCAGCGACTTTTTTGCAATTGTCTGTATAGGGAAAAACTGAGTCAGCAAGTTTCCGGACTCCGGACGTTTTCACAGCAAGCTAAATAGATTTAGTTTTTCACCGACTATCGACATTAAGTGGATAAGGTGATCAGAAAGAAAGCTATTAGCTAGCTATCAGTATCTGAGTATTTGCATTTTATCATAGGAAACAATATTTTGAAAATAAGACGTGCAGCCTACCAGTATCAGTAGTATACCAAGCCGAATACATACCTACCCTGCCATTTTGTATCTCCCTCGCCACCGATCTTTTCTCCCCGTTATCATCGATCGTTTCATCGATTATATTTTTCGTTAATTAAAAATCACTGGCCTGATGAGGTACCTACGTTTTTACTCACCGGCTGCTGATGGTCTCACCTATCTGACGGTCGCGGTCGAATGGTCAGAGTTTGGGACTCCTCCCTCGACTTCAGCCACGCGCAATGTCTGACCGGGATGCATCACTACCTATCGAGTGCGGACGATAGACCAGCACCGTCGTAAGCAGAGCCTGGACTTTATACGACTTAATTATAGTTTTATAGGTCGATCGTCCGTATAAGAAGTCTCAAGTGATCAGTAGTTACATGTAATAATGAAATAAAGGCAATAATCACATATCCCTTGGTGCTCACTGCCCTATGAAACTCGAAACTCGTCTATTGCAAGTCTGGCTCTGCGACAACTTATCGGCTATTCCAAGCGTATTCTAAGTCCGACATGCATTTGCTCCGTCTGTGAACGTCGAGCCTCTGGTCTAATCTATCCTACGACGCCGTTCCTGGTCGTTCCTACCCGCTGCGGGGGCCAGAACGACTCCGTTTTTCTGACAGGGCGATGTCGGTGGCGCTCATCTCGGGGCGGTCTCGGTAGTTGCTGACTGCAGGGTGGGGACCGGGAGGGGCGGGCAAACGGCTCTACGTGTGATATCGCCCTGGGGGAGTGTTAGAGCGGCCCTAAATTACCGAACGGTGTCATTGGGGTCGCGACTGACGCGCGCTGATATGGAAGTGCTCGCCGGCTGTACGAGTCCCAGAATAGTGCTGCCGGTGGCCGCCGACCTATGGATGGCGGTGGTGCCGCAGAGTGCGCGAGTGAAGTGGCCGCAGGCCTCAGCGAGGTCAAGGGTCGCTGGACGACTCGGATCCCGTCTCCGGCAACGCAGCTGGTCGCGGAGGGAATATATACCTCACCGGACACAGAGCCGGGATCGTGGTGGATCATGTTTGAAACTATAGAAGACTTCGCACGTTTTTTATTAGAAAATTCCTTTCCGCCTTGACTGAGATAAAGCGTGTATTATTGGGTACGTTTACGCTCACGCATTGAGCATCTAATAAAGGTTTAGCGCATTTCTCTCCGCTCTTTTGTTCGTTATCTTTAGAAACATTTAAAGAGTATCTCACAATTGAAACTCTTTCAAAAATATACCTAAATAATTACAGACTCTTACCTCACGGTAGAGCGAACTCCCTTTATTAGCAACATTATCACATACCAATATCTTGCGTCATACAAACAATCACTCCCCGTATCCGAGCGCACACTGAACACAAAGGGGCCAAGAAGCACCACTCCACCGACCTGTTCCGTCAACATCTCTGACAATAGCGGCCCGTCCGGCCCGGCGCCTCTTTTCATCGAGCTCGCTCGCTACTGCGTCATCAGCGTTCGATCTCGGTCTGTGACACGCAGAAGCCGCCTTATAACCTTGGATCAGTCGCTCGGTTAATTGAACACTGCTCGGCGCTAAAGCGAGCCGGAAAGCTTCAAACGAGCAGGATGTTTCGCAAGCGCACACGCTGCTCTGGTTTCAATATACGCCGTTGGTAACCTACATTTTGCGCTGCGCAGTACTCAAACTCACCTATCTTTTCAATTCCTCGTCTCTACTCGTCCCCTCCCCACCTCCCTTCCCCTCTGCTGCTCCCCCCCCCCCCCCCCACTCGCCCCACACTGCGCCCGGCCGTCGAGAGCCCAGTGCGTCACACTGACCCGTGATTTACTCCCAAGGAGCCGCCGCTCCAGCGAGCGCCGCGCGTCTCCCCGCGCCGGGGCGGTCAGCCGGAGAGTCATTGACTCAGAGCGGCGCCGCCAGTGCATGGTGAGTCATTGGGGGCGGGTGTCTCCGCGCCGCCCCCGCCCCCGCCCCCGCCCCCGTCGCCGCCACCCCCGCCACTCAGCCGTTGATCGATCTCTGAGTTATACGGCGTCAGCGGCGGCCGGCAGTGGTCACTGGACCAGAGGTGTTGTGGTCAGGTCAGTAGCCACTGGACCAAAGGTTTTGGTGGTCATGGTGGTCTCGAGGGGCTAGTGGTCGCTGGACCAAGG